TCTCTCTGCGACCCCGTCCCAGCTCTCGACATACTTCAACGGCGCACAATCCATCAACCTGGCCAACTATCTCACAACACTATCCGATCTGCTGGGCAACCTCTCGCATCAGAACGAGCTGAGCGCAGCCTTTGAGGCATTTGATGACAATGACGACGGACAGATTGACTTGGCAGAGCTAAAAGATGCTCTGTTGCACACGGCACCGCAGCCAGGCGAAACGCTGCTTACCGAGCGGGAGATCAACATGGTAGTCGAGGGTTTCAGCGGGCGGAGAGCCTTTGGAAAGGGAGGCAAAGGTCTGGGCAGAGGAGAGGTGTTTCGATATCACGATTTCCTGGCAAATCTGACTGGCGGTGGCAATGGCGGAGACAATGCCGAAGGTACCGCTGCATCAGCCTAGTTGTGTTTGTAGCAGATATTGCTGCATTCCCTCACGCCTCGAGTTTACGGCGTTGTATCATGTTACGGAATGGAATGAATGTTGATGGCCTGGTGCCTTGATAGGACGGCATGGATTGGCATGCGACAAAATACATATTATTAATAAATGGAATGGAATCTGAGCCTAGCCATAAAAGGCTGTTTTTGACTATGCATTCGCGTATGAGGATTGGCTTGTGAGAGTTGTCGCTGACGAAAAGGTGAGAAAGCTAGTTGGAACAATGGGAGGGCTCCTGTCAATGAGGTTCCATGCACATATCTGGGGACCCTGGTCTTTGTCAAAAGTCGGTGACAGCACTGCGAGCGATAATTCGAACGTCTGTCTTTGCTTTCCCCCCCCCCCCCCCCCATCCAAGACTGGATGACCTGCATTCTTAGCACGATACGCGTTGGCTTGTCCTGTGCAGTCTCTTCCTCATGGGATTCGAGCGGAGCAGTCGGTGAGATTGCGTGGCATCGTGTCTTGCCCGTCGCAATGGCATGCCGTCATTGTGCTTACACCGGCCACGAGTCAAGGGCGGCCAAGCATGGGGGAAAGAATGGAGACGAAAACGTGGCCCAGTGCCCAGAAGCTGTTACCGTGGGTTCGCCGTGGTGTCGTGAACCCTGTTGTTGGTGTGTTGTCACGACGGGCGGTGGGCATTTCGATTGGAGGGCGGGGCACGTGATGTACAACACACCGGCGCAGATTGGGCAGCTCCGTAAATCGCCATCCACTCGTTCGCGAATCTGTGGAAATAGTGTCGCGGTGGCTCTTGAAGCGGCTAGCAGTAGTGAGTTGGTCGGGAAAAGTCACAGGTGTAGTCGCATCCAGCACCCTCATTGGGCCCGTTTGCTGCAGCACAGACATCGTTCGCGCGCTGCAAGAGCGATTGCAGAGCTTCCAGCATTTTATATCTACCACTCGGCCCCTCCTCGCCTCTGCCATTTCTCCACATCCAAGATGAGTGGTCCTGGTGAGAATCGGTACGTCCAGAGGAGCGCCTGTCCGCCGCAGCTGCACATTACTGACACATGCCTCACAGCTGGCGACGGCAGGGTCAAGCCAACCGCAACTCAGGCACAAGCACCCCCACCAAGGACGCTGCTGGCCGGCCGCAGTCCATGACTGCTGCGCCTGCGGGCAATGTCTGGGGAACCAAGCAGGCAAAAGCCTCGGGTCCTACGCCGGCCGCACAAGCCCAGGCCCAGGCCGAGCACCATGTGCCTGTGAAGGGCTTCAATGCCAACGAGGTCAAGGAATTCCTCAAGAAGAGTATGTTCTCCAGGGCGTACATGTCGCGGCACAATACTAACTAGAGCATAGAGTACCTCGAGAGTACCGCCAGTACGAGCCGCCTAGTTTTCCACGCACATGTCCCGGAAGTGCTAACAGTAGCCTTGTAGACCAGCCCGCGGTATATCACAAGGTCCCCGGTGACTCGGTATCGAACAGGAGCAGCGGAGCATGGGGCAAAGGCGGTGAGGCGCTTATGTGTGGCAAGTTTGCAGACATGGAATACTGATTTTACGCAGGCACCATGCCGCACCTCATGACAACGGGGCAGGACTTCTTCACACAGCTCAAGAAGCAGCTGGCAACGCTGGACCAGACCAAAGCAGCACAGTAGCTGCAAACAGGCGATGATTGTTTCAACGGCATTCGGGTAGGCATTGCAGGCGTTCTTGGGCATGGGTTTCTGGGTGGCTACATGGCAACACCTTGCAGGAGCATGGTACGGCTTTGAGGGGGGAAAAAGGCGTTTTGGAGCCTGCGAAGGTGCATGTTGTCCAGGCCAGCATCTTGACAGGCGATGGCCATGTGGTTGCCGACAGGGTCATGGGGTTTGTATGTATGTATGTATGCTATTAGAGATGTACGCAGGGACCGGGCTGGGATAGAGGACGGGGCGTGGCTATCTTGCAATACGAGTGGCGAACCGGCAGCTGCATGGAGCATTTTGACATGGACGTTTGCAGGATCAGATGGTCAAGTGAGGCGTGTAGCAGTGTGTGGATGTGTGCTAGCTGTGGGCGTGGTTGTACTTATGTGACAAGGATACCCATACCTTCTCTCCTTTGCGAGGGACTGGGACCGTCATTTTCTGACAGGCCAATCCCGAGCAGGCAGGGCAACAAGCGGCAACTAAACACTGTGCGAGGGGACCTGCTGTGCAACCACATCGGCTTTGTTGCTTGACTGTTTATCAGTGTTGCGCCTGTTCTCCCCACCCTGCACACATACACATATACACACACACATACGGCAGACAAGTCTCGTACCGCCAAGTGCCGCCAGTCGCCATCCCACCCCCCCTCGCAGCACCGCCGGTACCTTGCATCGAGGCTGCAGTTGCGCAACCACAGCCGAGCCCGCAACCTCAAGTTTAGGGGTACCAGTCACTCACTGTCCACACGCCGCTACCCCGCCACGCACCTCTCCTTTTGCGACTCCTGCTCAGCACGCACCGCTGTTGCTTGCACGAGGTTGGGCCACTTCGAGCCCTCGGCTGCCAGTGCTGCGCGACAGAGGCGCATTGCGCTCCTTGATCACACCCGCTTGATCCCCGATTGGGCTCTCCTAATGCGGTCCGCCTTTCCTTGACCAGCGACTTCACGATCCTCGGACGCGTTCGGCGCATTCCCATCTGGCCCAAGATCCACCCTCCCGTAGCGCCATGTCCTCTCCACCAGACACACCGACTCACCGTCCTCTATCCTCGCACCGTCGACACCCCGACAGCCTGGACATGTCCCACAACAACGCTTCCAGGCGCCAATCCTTCAACCGACGCTCTTCCGGCTACTCGCCCATAACCCCGCGCTCGTCGCACGACTTTGACGACGCCTCTGCACACAACTTTGACGGCGCCATAGACGGCAATGGCCTCGGAAACCTGGCCGACGAGCTGGGCGAGATTTGGGACGACGATGACGAGGCCATAGACGGCGACTACGGTGAGGACATAGACGAGTCGCACGGCGACCTCGCGGCCATCGGCACCGCCGTCGAGCACGACGGCTCCTATGGCGTCGACAGCGTAGCCAGTCTCAACGGTGTGCGTGACAGTGGTGTGGCCATGCAAGACTCTCCCCCCACTGGCCTCAGCCCAGCCTCGGCTGCAAAGTCAAAAAAGCACAATAGGCAACGATCGCTGTACGACGGCTCTGACTATGGCGATGACTCCGACCTGGACAACGAGGGTATATCACCGGCGCTCGAGTCGAGAATGGCAGCTATTGAAAGCCTGGCACGGCGGGGCATGGAAGAGAATGGCAGCCCATCAGACGAGGTGGTCAAGCGAGTGACGGAGCAACTGCGAGATTTGGGCAGCCAGATTGCTATAGAGAACGGATCCACAAGGTATGCTCATCCCTTTCCCTTTTGTATGATTTACGCTAACATAGAGAAAAAAAACAGGCTCAAGACAGCTCACGATGCTCTCACAACACACCTGACTCACCAGTCCCGTACCCTAACCTCTCTAGCCGCCTCCTTCTCGGGTCCACGACCAATCATGCCCGATCCAGAAACCATCGAGGAACTTTTGCCAATCATACAATCAACCCTGGACCTGCTTCCCCATTCTTCCGCTGAGCCACTCGTCGCCCTCTCCCATCTCACTCACTCAAGCCGTGAGCTCCTGCAACATCTCGCAAACGTAAGCGACACGCTCCACATGTCCCGGCAAACCACCATGAATGCCACCCGTAGGCTCAAAGTCAGCAAAGAACAATTACAGGACTGGAAACGTGACAACGAACGGACAAAGGAGGCACAAGAGTACATTGAGCATGGAGACTGGGACCGGCGGCTCAAAGAGAGGGAAGCCAAGCGTGCATGTGCAGATGTGCTGGATGGATTCGAGGATGTTTGTGGGCAATGGAGAAAGAGGCTTTGCGATGGCCTGGGCGCGACTACTGGGTAGAACTCGCCTTGCGCACCTTGCTAGTAATTTCCTTTTCTTTCTTCTTTCTCTTCTTCCTCTTCTCTACTCTACACATGGGGAGGTTTCGCTGAAAAATAACAAGACCGATATAGAGTCTGCAGCACCTCGAATGGCGATGCGAATCAAGAATATTCGGCAAAGCATCTCGGCACTACAATACGGGACTTTTTCATGTTTCCAGACGCTAGGGAAACGAAATTGGGTCGTCCCTGGTGGATTATACTAGACGGATCGTAGTTATCTTTGTTTCTTTTGTTCGGGAACAACACGTGGATTTTTTTTCTCTGTTGTTTGTCCGCCTACCTTGTTTTTTCTTGTTTTTTTTTCTCTCTCTTTCTTTTACAAATTTCATATGTACATTTTTGCATCGTCATGGTGTCGTATGGTGTTTCTGGATGGCATTTGATAGATGGAATCTTGGTAATACCCCTCCCCATTTATACACTTGGCTTTCTGAGGACAAGCATGTAGTAGCAAATATTGTCAACCGTTCCGTAGATGAGAGAATGAAAGGTAGTACAAATTGAAGGGGTGTTCGTGATTTGATGGGTGGTGATGGGAACGAACAAAGGTACTAGTAACTACAAAGAAACTAACAGTGTATCTATGTACATGTGTATCCAGGTTCTATGCAAGCTTCTGGGCTGACCTGACGTCGCTTACCCCAGTTCCTTGCACAATCTTTGCCTCAACAACCCCGTACACGGGTATCTCCTGTAACCTCTCGACAATGTGGTGTAGTGTGGGTAGTGCCTTCCAGTCAAGTGCGTCAAACGCAATCTCGGCTGTCGAGGCAGTAAGCGTCTGCTCAACCTTCCTCTCCACCACCTTGCTGTCTTCATCGCCAGGTAGGAACGCAGTGTACTCGACATCCGCCTGTCCACGCTGCTTGCTGCCCGCACTCGCAGTAGCGGGTATGTACTTGTGGAACAGCAGACCATCGTCTCTAGGAGGTGCTGGCTGGACAGCCGGAGCCTCGCCGTTTGCAGTACCAGCTGGTTGTTGCAACCCTGAGAGCTTCATGGAGCAGAATTTGGACGACATCCAACTCGCCTCCAACTCGCACTTGTCGTCAGTCTTACTCACCGCCAGATCAGCAAATACCTTGGGAAACCCAAGTTCCTCTCTCCCACTCAAAATTGGATCCGCAAGGTTCTCAAACAGTACAGGCAAATACGTCCCCACGACTGTATCCCCATCCTCCTTCGTATACTCGATGCCATGCACATACAGGCCAAAATGACTGTATCCTCTTCCGCCCAACCACTCCAGATTACCCAGCTGCGTGACAGCAAACGTAGCAAACGCTGCCGTATCCGCACTAGCAAACTTAAACTTGCCACTCGGCGGCAGCAAATTCTCCAACACCGTCCTACTCGTCCTCACCTTGACACTCGCCGTCGAAAAGGTCGCACCACTTCCATCCCTTTGCCTGCCATAAAAGTCCTGACGGGGACCCGGCATAGGTCCAAACGCCGTCGGCATTCTCCACAGCAAACTCTTATTGTTCTCCCACTCCCATTTCCGCAGCGCCTGGCTGGAATAGTGCCATTCGTCGTGGCCGAAATTGTAGTTTGTGAATTTACTGGTGTCGAGCGGGGGGCCGGTACCCAGGTCTTTACCAGCGACACGTGAGTATTCTTGAATTGTGCTAGCGCGATCGTAGCGGCAGCGCTCGTAGAGTTTGAAGCGGGAGGGGATGGAGGAGCGGGGGACGCCGAGGGGAAGCATGACGGCGAGGGAGGCGGCATCTTCGATGGCTTGGCCTGCGCCTTGACCTTGGTCTGATCATCATCAAAAAAAAATTGTGTTAGTCTTCGTTTCATTTTATTCTTTTCCAAGGGCGGTTTGGGAGGATCAACTTACGCGGCGTAAAAGGATGAGCAGCATCACCTATCAAGACCAACTTTCCCTCTGTCCAACTAGGCAACTGCTCCATATCCAGCAACTCCCACACTTTCAATGTCTCTTCATCCGCCATGCTCAGCAGCTTGAGCACCGCAGGCTCAAACTCCTTGTACACCTCCAGCATCTTGTCCAGGTTTCCCTTATTCTGCCAATCACTGCTTCCGGGCTCTTGCGCATTAATCTGGCTCTCAGACGTAGGGTGGATGCACACGAAATTCAAGAGCGTATTGTCAGACGTTGGGTACACGACTACTCTCCTATCACGCGCAAAGATCATGATTAGATGGCCTTCTTTTTCTGCAAACTTGCGTGTCTCAGGGTCGTCGAACGCTTTTTGGCGGGAAATGAGGAAGCGGAATGCGCTCTTGCCACTACCGAAGACCTTGATGTTTTCTGCGCCTGGAATGCGTAGGCGGGTTTTGGAATGGACGCCATCTGCGCCGACGATGATGTCGCTTCGGATTGTTTCTCCGCTCTCCAGTACAACAGTGCCTTCTTTGGGGTCTACATCGACGACTTTGGAGCGGAGCTTGAGTACGGCTGGTTTGCCTTTTCCTTCTTCGCATGTAGCGAGTCGCTTCAGTTCGCTGTGCAGACTCACGCGGTGGGCGAGTTGCCAGGGGTGCTGCCACCGTCCCGCGCTTTGTGTCAGATCTATACTGAAGAGTTCCCGGCCGTTGGGAAGCATCTGCGTCATCTGCTTGCAACTAACCGCGCCTTGTGCCTCGGGAGTCAGGCCCATGCGGCGTAGAAGGCCATTAGCGTTGGGAGCAAGATGCACAGCGGCACCCAGTTCGTTGGCGAAGCGCGAGGCTTCGAGTAAAGTTACTGTGTGGCCTTGTTGTCGAAGGAAGATTGCTGCACTCAAACCACCGATGCCTGCTCCGCAGATTGTGATGTTGAGGGGTTGCTGGGAGGCATCATCGTGTCCGTTGACGCCGTTGACGCCGTTCGTAGTGGTACCGTTTGTAAAGTCCATGGTTACGGCGTGAGATACACTGGACGAAAAGAAGACAACAAAAGCGGTACCAAGAACTGAAAGTATGGAAGTGAAATAAGGATTAACACTCAAGACCGGATTAAATGGCAGCGAGCTTTGCCTTCAGTCCCGCTTTTTACTTCTAGGTTCATCGTGGTCACACCAAGGTTCGGTTCGTGGAAATAGATCATTTCCCCCCCTCCTCCTCCTCCTCCTCCTCCACTTCCCGGGAATAGTCTCTCCTGCAGGTGACCCCATGGACGAATGTTTTTTGGGGTTCTCCCACTTTAGTATATGTTGGATCTCGCGCGTGAATGGACGAGGGCGTGTCGGCTGTTTAAATGGTGCATCGTGCGTGGCACACAGTGAGATTAGATTGTATTTAGAAAATGCATGTCAGCATGATTGCATTCACTGTACCGAGGGAAAGATGCAGGTTAGTAGGTTATTACTAAGCAGCTTGCCCGATGAAGTAGATTGCTGTCCTCCATCTCAAGTATGATGTGAGGAAATGTACATGCACAATCACTTTCTCAACGACAAACTCTCCCTGCATTGCACAATTTCCACCAAGAAAAAAAAAATGAAGACCCTTCCAAACTCCCTAAAGCTCTCAAAAGCCATTCAAGAACTTCACCACTCTCCACCAAGTTTATACCCAACATTCCATACCCGTCCAAAAGAATTCCTCCAAATCTTCGACATTGTCTATTTGTTCCTGTTAGCCTTCTCTCTCTCTCTTCCTCAAAAAAAAACTACACTTCTCTCTCTTCCCCAATAAAAAAAAAGAAGCAATTCAACTCACCGACTCCAAAAACACACCCGTGAACATCACCCCCACAAACGCCTGCTCAATCCCATTCAAATACACCCTCCGCTCACTCTGATCCAACTCCCTGTTTACAGGCCTATACACAGGCACCCTGCGATGCTGCGTAGGCCAATGACTTGGGTTTTGCTGCTGCTGCGCATTCGCTGCGGGATTGGGATGCGCATTTAGACTGGCATCGTGATGACCGCCTTCTGTGGTGGTGTGGTGGAGATCGTAGTCTGCGAGGGTGGCGGCGAGGGTGTAAGTTGTTGGGTTTGTGGTTGTTGTTACGGACATTGTGGCCGTTGTTCGGATGGTGAAAGGGGGGGGAGAAAGGGAGAGTGGAAATGGAAGTGGTAGTAGCAAGACGGCGGTTGTTGTTGTTGTTTAGCGAAAGACACGGGTGAGACGCATAGAAGTCGGGATTACACAAATGGTCGTGTTCCGCGCGGCGGGAAGACGCGGAGATGGTGGCGGGCGGGACGAAGGGGGGACAATGGGGGTGGGGCGCTCGGGTTCGGAATGTGGGGGAGCACGGGGGTGTTGCGTTTTCCGTGCTGGTAAGTTGTCATCCCATCGCATTGCCGTCGGGTTAAGTGGGAGATTATACCGGCGTGGTCCGGGGACGTTTTTCGCGCTTACATAGTAGTAGAGATTTGCTGCTTCTCCTCCAGTCTTTGAAAATTCTGTTGTGATTCTTTTTTGTCCTGTTCGGTTTTGCAGTCTCATCATGTCGTCGTCGCCAATTACCCCCGAAGCCGCGCTGGAGATCCTCCAAGCAACTGCACTTACTGCACGCTGCCACAACGCATTTTTTAGACAGAAGCAGCTCAAGTCACTGCATGATGCGCTGCGTAATAGCAGTGATGCTATCAGAAATGCTATTAAGCAGGATACGCATGTATCCGACGAGGAAGCAACTACAGAGGTTGCTGTTGTCCTCGACCTAGTCAAAGAGCACTATGCCTCTATTGATGTGACAAAAGAGCTAGAAGCGGAATATCGAATCACAAATGGCAAAGACGCCAGTAACAGGAGAGTACCGTGGGGTGTTGCATACATTGAGCCACAAAAAAGCCATACGCCATTCTTTTCGGTCCTGTCACCTTTGAGTGCAGCTGTTGCAGCCGGTACCTGTGTAGCGCTCAAGGTAAGCATCACTCTTGGATTTTCTCCCCACCAATTCACAACTAACAAGAAAACAATAGCTTGAAAACAACCTCCGTGCTCTCCCCTCTCTCCTCCGCAAGCTTCTCACCGAAGCTCTTGAATCTGACACCTTCCTCATCATCTCCTCCTCCCCACCCGCCGACTCCCTCTCAACCTACCTCCAAGTCCTCCAAGAGACACAAGTCGCCCAACCAACATACTCCCAGCACGTCTCCCCTCAAGGCAAAGTAATCGCAATTGTAGACCGCACCGCGGACCTTGCTACCGCGGCCTCGCATCTTGTCACAGCCCGCTTCGCCTTTGGTGGCACATCCCCCTACGCCCCAGACATAATTCTTGTAAACGAATTCATCAAAAAAGAGTTCCTCGAACACGTACTCCAGCTTTCCTTCCGTTACCTCGTGGGTTCCGGCTCTCTCGCCAACGGTTCCTCCAACCCCGGCAGCAATCAAAAATCCTCATCATCATCCAGGATATCCACCGCCTTCTCCACCCTCTCCTCCTCAAAATCCTGGGACCTAACTACAATTTCCTCCGGCGACAACGGCGCAGTCGTCGAACTCTCAAACCTATCCTCCCTACCCCCCAAATCCACACAACCCATCTTTGCAGTGTCGGCGATAACATCGCTCGAACACGCCATCAGCCTCGTCGAACAAGACGTCTCCCCCAATGAAACCCTCTTAGCAAGCTACCACTTCGGCGCGAATGCAACAGCAAAGTACCTCTCGCAATTTGTGCCGGCAGCGGTGTCGTTTGCAAACAGTGTCCCGTTTTCGCTGCTTCTCGGCCCCGCCGCCCCAGAACCTTCATCTCAGATTCCTTTTGATGTGGAGAAGAGGTACACGGTTGAGCATTTTTCGCGGCTCGCGCCCGCATATGTAAGCGTGCCGGGTAGTCAGAGGTCGCTGCTGAAGGTGCTGAGTGGCAAGGAAGGAGCGAAGGTGGCGAGCGAGATGTTGGGGCAGGCGACAAAGGAGATTAAGGAGGCGAAGCGGAAGGAGTCGATTGCGATTGGGTATTTTGAGCAGGGAATATTTGTCGGGTTGGGAGTTTACGGTATCCCGCTTCTCACGTGTATTGGGGCGTCGTTGTTCTTTGGGGTGAGGGCTGGGCTGAGGAAGTTGGCGTTTATTTAAGTAATCGATTTTCTTTCTTTATTGAGGGTATGGAATGGGCTGATGGATATGATGATTTGTAGAAGTATTCAATCAATTTCTTTGTGTTTACTTGAATGGGGGTAAAGGAGAGTGATTTGACATGCGCGTTGAAAGTCAGAATAGGTGCTCTGTTCCATCGCATCAAGATCCATCATAAATCAAAGCATTATTTTCTTGCTATACGCACTTCCTCCCAATATACAAGGGCATCGACATGGATCAAATCAGTCCAACCAATAAGCATACTTACATACGTGCATACATACAACATTAGTCATGCAAAGCACAGTAAACATCTGACGTAAGAAGCCTAAATCGGCCTTCCTTGAGGAACCCACTTTGCCGTCCAGATACGTAGTCTCTTACCCCAGATGAGCATGGGAATAGTGAGCAAGCCGAAAATGCCCATGAGCATACCGAAAATGCCAAACGGCTCTGCTGCGCCAGCGTGCGTGACCCACTCGCCGACGAAGAAAGTCCACGCAAAGCTAACCACTGCGCGCGTGGAAGTAATAGCGACGAAGCAGTCGCCAGCAAGGGAGCCATACGCTTCAATGATATAGTTGAAGCCCACCGATGGCGCTTGCATGAGGCCGAAGGCGACGAGGCCGAGTCCAAACTGCAGACCCACCCAGCCCTTTGGCGAGGGGTTCTGCGCTACGAAGCCGAAGATGAATGAGCCAATGGTGGCAGCGAAGAGGGCAGGGAGAGCGGTAACGAGACGGGATTCTGGTTCGGAGAAGCCGTGATGGTCCTTCTTTGCGAGGCGTTTGGTTGTGAAATCAGCGACGAAGTAGGTGTATACCTGAAATACCCAGGAGAATTAGTGAATGTCTGGAGTGGAAAGGTTGCTAGAGTTCGAAAAGACTTACACCGCCTAGGATAGTCCCGATGATGCCGCCAATGTTGATCAGTCCGACACCATTGCCCCAGAGGTATGGGGGTTTGGCGACAAACTGAGGAGCTACTGCTGACATGGTTACCTAAAGCAGGGTCAGTAGTGTATCTTTTATCAGAACACTCGTGTGGTCTTTCACTTACAATCAATCCGACGAGTCCAGCATACCAGCCTGAAACCAGCCACACTCCTGGTAGTCGGAGGACCTTGTAAGGAGCCAAGAACTTTGTACCGATGCCCGGCTGATACGTGATGAGTCTTAGCGAGCGGAGGTACGAATAGGAAGGGTACGTGGATGGCGCCACAGAGTCAGCAACTACAACACTCTCCTTGGTTTCGGCAGTGACCTTGTTCGAAACGTCGTTGTCGGATGTATATGAGGTCTGTGGGCGCTCGTACAAAGTCTCGGCTTGAAAAACGAGACATAGAGCGAAGCTGATAGCTGAAAGGACAACATTCATCCAGTGTAGCCAGGACAGACCCATGGGCCCGACAATGTATCCACCACAAGTAGCGCCGACAAGAGATCCAAAAGCTAGGAAGGAAGTGTAGATGGCCTATGGATAATGCTGTTAGCATCCTGATATGCCAAGAATCTTCTGTTACAATTACATACCATAGCACGTCCACGTTCGTGAACGAAGAAAATCTCGCCAACCACATCAGGGCTGACGGCGTCGGCAGGTGCTCCACCAATGCCCATGAATATACGCGCAGCCAGCAAACTATCGAAGCTTGTCGCCAATCCCGCCCACATGCTCGAGAAGACCAGCAACAACAAGCTAGCCAGAATCACTGGGCGACGCCCAAAGGTGTTGGCCAAGGGCACCCACCACAGGTTGGCCGCCCCCAACATGAAGACATTGACCGCAATGAAGTATGTCAGTTGTGAAAACTTTTTGGGTGGGAGACCAAGCACTGGTGTCGACGCGTATATTGGCAAAGCACTAGAAATCGATGACGCAGTGAAGTTGACCACAAAAGGGTGGATAGACATGACCGCGAGCATGACAAGCTTCCGCCATTTGGGCAGGTTCAACGGGTCTGCTGGGTCTGATGTTGGTTGGGGCACCAGACGAATCTCATCTCTATTCGTCTGCGATGCTGTCCATTCGAGATGTTCTGATAAGGCAAGTTCGTCAGCTCTAGTAACCCCGAAAGTCTGTTGTCGCGTCTTACCAACCAAGGTAGCTGTTCCAGGGGGCCTGGCATTGCGCACCTCCTCTTTGGAAAGTTTGAACGCCGCGCTCAAGGATGTCATTGCGGCTGATGGTACGTACCGATCAGAATGAAAAGCTCAAAATCCTGCAATGGTCACTGGATTACGGGCACGAGAACTTCTCAATCTAAATAGACCACACTGTGCTACAAGACTGACCTCCCGTCCTCAATCGGTGTGGGTGCCCAGCCTGCAGGACTGGACGGACAAGGGCCGTGACAAGTTTCAAGGTCAGCCATTGGACGAATCGACCTGGGATTTACCCCAGTTTGATTCCCGATTCCGGGGTCATTCGGAATGTGGGGGACGGAGGTCTGTGTGCATGTACTATTCTTCATATAGCTTGGAAATGCGGGGATATCGCTTTGTCCAGATCGCCTAAGCCTGAATACAGTTACTAGTCATTGCCACTTAATGGAAGAGCAGAGCAGGTTGGCCTTCGGACCGACAGGATGAATCTCGGATTACGCACGCATTTTACCGCACTGGGATAAAGCCGCTAGTGGGACCAAAGAACATGCATGTCATATTGCGCGTATCCACAGATAAGAGGGTATATTGCTGAAGGAACAAGGCATTATTTTCAATGAGTAGTGACCGGCACCTAAAAGATTATACTTTACATAATTGCTCGACCTCGTGCATCGACGCATTATTGCGGCGATTATTTGATTGCCGAACGGAGACCTTCCAAAAGTTGCACCAAGTTCCCAACAAGTGGTGGGCACGGTTCCGAGGCATCGTGACGTGTCCGTAGAAGATGTACCAGGCTGTCCATGACCCCGCAGACATCATTTAGCTGGGTTGGGCTATGCGAACCATATGTTCGTATAGATGGTATACCCCGATCCAATGTGATGAATTTACGAGCGCTCAGAGAATCATCTCCGTTTAGAACAACCATGGTATCAATTTGTGTTGATTCTGGCGCAATGGACCGCTTGAGGAATCCATAGCACCACAGGATCAGCCCGGCATGGTATACGGCAATGGCATTAAAATTGTTCAATAAAGCCTTCGGCAACACTTCAGCGGCGCGTAAAACCTGACCAGCGTGCCAGAGCGCTTGACGTGCTGAAGGAGTGTTGGTCCAGTCTCGTAGGCCAACGTATGCGATGCGCGCCTCTTCCTGCCCCTCGATGCCTGCAAAAAGCTGAATGTCATCCAAAGGTGCGTTGAGATGAACCAGCATGATCTCCAGAGTCATCTCAACACTCTTGTTCATGGGTGGGCAGCTGAGTCTAAAATCATCGAGCTGCTTCGTTAGATCTTGGTAGCGTGAAGATAGTATGAGGCTGTTGTTCGATACGGCCTGTGACCGAGATGTCACTGTGCACATCTGGCGGTATTCCCAAATCGCGCCCCATATCATGTATAGGTACGTAAGGCTAGCGTGATCATGGTGCGAGAGGTGCCCTAGGTTGAGAAAGCATTCTATGGCTGACGGCTTGTTGACTGCCATTGGCGGCAGGTTCAAGTAGGCTGCTTTCCAGCTTGTTGCTGACTTGGCCTGCCAAAGAGCATTGGAGCTCGGTAACGGAAGTTGCATCTCGGCATAAGATACTAGTGGCGGCTTGAGTAATGCCATGGAGGATTGTCGATCAAATTCGAAAGCACGATAGACCAAGCGAAGGAATGATTCTTGCTGAACCCAGTTGAACCATTTGGTTTCTAGTGCAGATCCTTGCTCGTCTGGCTCTGGGCGGATCTCCTTCCATGTCGACCGGCGGAAGCGGGCGCCTCGCCGAAGCATTGTTATCAACGGCTGGGTAAAACTTTCTGCAATCTCCATCTTTCGGCTAATACCACTCCACATACCCACTCCTAGCTGCAGAAGGAAGGTCTGGAGATGTTGAAGGTCTCTGATTGCTGTGTTGTCCTCTTCGAAAGACCTAGACTGGCCCATCCTGGAAGCCTCGTGCAAAGCATATCCAAGTTTTCGCAACGAAGAGTCAGGAATTGTGGCAGCTCCAGCGGATGCTATACTGGCGAGCAATTCTGGATTCAGTTTCGAAGGAGAAAAGGTTGGGAGATGGAACCACGTGAGGGCGTCCAGGGACGGCGAGGTGAGGAAGTACTGGATCAGTCCATCCAGTAGCTCTACGCTGGGAAAAGCCGACGCAATTTTCTTGACGTTCTCCGGAGTGCATGTTCCCAAGACCAAGACCATTAAGCGGTCACGGCTTACACGAGGAAGTCTGCAAACAAAGGTTAGATGGCATCAACGACAGAATCATTGAGTTAGCATTGTCTTACTTTTCCGCCACAACCCGGCGTTGTGCAATATGGGCGCGCCTGCTGTCTCTCTCAGCATCCGAAAAGGCCAGGTTTACTTGCTCTGCGCTAGGGTTCCGAGAGCTCTGAGGAAGGTAGCGCCATATGCTCTGCTTGAAAGCTTCTGCTCTCCCTGGTGCCGTATCGGTCTCTGGGTGGGAATGCTCGGTACCGTGAGCATCAGTAGACGGTGTGTCGGCAGCAAAAGGGGCTTGGAAGTTGTACTGATCAAGCAGTCCAAGATCGAGATCAGTAAGGCCGACATCGATGTCAAAACTCAGATCCAATATACCGCGTGGAGTAGCCTGGCCAGAAAGAAAGGCGTCGAACGGGGGCATGTTTCGGAAGTAATCTGGTAGAAACGGATTCTGTGCTGGCGTATTGTCAAAGGGCGGGATGGAGCTATCAAAAAAGGACATTGCTGATGTAGGATCGGGCTCTTCAAAGTTATGGTTCATTGTAACCAGCCCGTTGCCGGTGTTGGGCGGCGGCTGCATGGTGTTCATGACTGACGTGCTCGTGTCAGAGCTTCTGCAACCAGCAGAGTCAGTTTTGGTACTATTGGAGTCCACCATGGACAGGTGTTGAGAATTGTGGAATGACTCTGGTGTCTGTGAGGTTGTAGACGCCGGAGGGTTGGCATTCCCGCTTTGGCCAGGCAGCGATGAGGGGTAATCAAAACCATTTGATAAATCGAGCAAGTCTTGAGCGGCATGGACAGCATCGATTTCATGACTCTCATTCTCGTCGGTAGCGAGCGACTCGGGTACCTTGCAGGGTATCTTCTTCTTTTTGCAACGACTGCATGGCTTCTCATCCTCACATCGGAGATGGCTCTGGGAACAGGCCTCGCAGGCTTGAACCACTCTTGTGTCGCGAGAAATTTCGCGCCTCTGTCGCTTGTTGGCGGGTTCTGTGTCGTGGTTTGCTACATGTCGTTTGAGCAAGTCTCTGCAGCACGTTAGAGGAGTCTCGCGGCGGCTATTGTGCTGAGATGCCACCAAAGCATCTTCACAAAGCACTTACATTCGGGCAAAGCCCTTGGAGCAGACTGGGCAAATGTACGGCTTGGACTTTGTGTCTGTCGAAGCAGGGTCAGTTTACTAGGGTTCGGCGATGTGTATGCAAAATCAGGTGCGTCGAATCTAAGGACACAGCCGTCTTGTTGGTGTTTGAACAAGAAAGGGCGACTACCTTTGAGGCATGTCCAGAGCAAGAAGACACCAACTATGCAGAACAAGCCTCGTAGCAGACAGGGGCAGTAAACTCCCTAAGGTGGATGCCAGAAGTCCGCGGAGCACCGAGGACGTTGGTTGCGAGCGCGTCCCATATCTCTCGCTCAACTACAGGTGCTAGTAGGTAGCAGGGACAAAAACTTACGCGCTCTCACGTGTCGGGTGAGGTGGTCTGCTCTGGTAAAGGAGCGCTTGCAAGTGCTGCACTGGAATAGGCGCGCCTGTTCGGCATCGAGCTCGGCATGAGCAGGTTGAGTGTTTGGTTGCGCCGTGCTCACCTGCATCATTGGATGCTTGTTGCTATCGGGTGAGATTGACGAGGGACGGCATCGGGAGGTGGGAAGTGGGAAGTGGAGGGAGATAACCCTTAGGTGTGGGGAGAGTGCGGAGTCGCGTGTGCATTGTGTGCATTTGTCCGCATGCCGAGACGGGGCGGGCGCGCATCCCGGCCTCGGCTGATCTGTGCCTGCCCTCTCCTGTTTGGGGAAGGGGCGACCGATGCCCTCAAACATAGGGACGGACTTGGCCCTCGTTTTTGCTCCTGGTCTCCGCCCCATTCCCTGTCACTTCTGTGGCAACACAGGACCTGCGACTCCTTGTCCTCCTCAACATGTTTGTCCCAGAGAATGCTGCCATGTTCATCTGGTCTTGCTGGTTCTTGAAGAGTCCACAGAAATGCCCAATGCCGGATTCGGGCGGGCTTGGTGTTAGGTGCAATAAGACGCGTCTTCACAACCCCATCCCCAACCCCATCCCCATCTCCCCGTCCCCCACATCCCGACCTTCGCCATGGGTCACATCCGCTCTCACATAGAGCACCAGACCAGGACAGGTAAAGTCTCCTCATTGCCCGCACTTCCAACGGCATTTCTGTAGTCTCTATCAAGTGACATCCAAGAATCGCGGCGACCACAGTACGCACATCGCTACTCATCTTCGCTGCAACGTACACACACCATCTGCGTAGCCATGCCTGTCCCACCCGTCCACTTCTTCTCCCATGGCTCCACCATGATGCTCGGCGAGGAGTCCAAATCCGCCGACTACTGGAAAGCATGTGGCGATGAAGCTCTCTCGCACGGCTTCAAAGGCGTCATCATGATGGGCGCTCATTGGGACGCTCGCGGTGTAAACCGCATCGACGTCGCCATGAACCCCAAGCCCGCAAAGTCCCCCGTTGCATACGTCCACCCCCGCAAGTACAAAGACTACGAGCTTGTCCCCGACCTCGAGAGCGGAAAGAAATGCATTGCCGCCCTGAGAGAAAAGGGTATCGATGCTCGCCCAAACGAGACTTTTGACTGGATCCACGACACCTATCTTATCCTTATCCGCATGTTTCCCGAAAAATGCCCCCCAACAACTCTCATCAGTATGAACTCGCGATTCGACCCCCACCTACATGCGCGTGTCGGCAACATCCTATCCAAGTTCCGTGACGAGGGCTACATCCTCATCGGCACTGGAGGCGCAGTCCACAACCTCTACCGAAACCACTGGGGCCAAATGCTCCGCTACTCCGACAACTTCGCCCAGCCATATCCCCCAGAGGCTCCCATGCTCGAGTTCCGTCAGTGCGTCGAGGATGTGTTTGTTCGGTGCTGCAGAAAGGGTGCCAAGAAGGGTAGTCTGACACGAGGAATCACAAGGCTGATGAAGCATCCCATGTTCAGAGATGCACATGCTACTGATGATCATTACATGGCTGCCTGCTTTGTTGCTGGCGTGGTTGATGGAAGTAAGAGGGAGACGGATGAGTGCGTGCTTGGTGCTGAGGACTGGGAGTTGGTGAATATGTGCAATAGTCAGTTTACAATTGGCAAGTGGACGTAGAAAGTTTGTAACGATATTCACGGTGGTTTTTTTCCTTATTCTGTTTAGTATAGGCGTTTTCTTAAATACGATTATATGTTCAATCGTGCATCCCGCTGAGAAATCGACGAAGAATGAGATGAATTAATTTCATATTGCTCTCGCCTTATACAAATCACTTTCAACCTACTTCGAAAAGCTAAACACTAGTGCCACAATGCTACCGCACCGGTGATGAAAGTATATATCGCTCGAATTCTTGCAGTATTTGTCACAACAATCATACACAGGACTACCACACAGTACACGAAATCTCAAAGCATTTACATTCTCTAAAAAAAAGAACACTCTACAACCCCCCCCCCCCTCCATCTGCTCCACGTCTATTTAGGCGGAACAATAGGCAACGTAACGTAATTCAGCGCCTTCTCCGAAAAATGCACATGATTCCACCCTCCAAACTTCTCCTCACTCCGATCCTCTGGGTGCGTATGTTGGAAAATACCACTACCCTGTGTATCCCCACTCGCAACCTCAAACACAATCTTACCGCCCTTCTCCACAATCACGTTCGTCGGCCACACCTCCACATCCACAGCGTACACATCCCCGGGCACAACGGGTTGCACGTCTGTGCTGAAGTAGTCGCGCCAGGGGAGGTAAGGCCGGTGCTTGGGGTGTGAAGGGTTGGTTTTGCGGAGGCTAACACGCAGCCAGCCTTTGGCGAGGGGGATGGGATCTCCGGCTGTGCCCGTGTAGTGGACTTCTTTGCCTTCAGGAGAGATGTAGCGGAGGGTGAGGAAGAGGTCGATGTCTGTGGGTGTGGCGCCTGTGGCGTGGGCCGAGAGCGAGACGTTGAGGTGTGCAACGATGTGTCCGGTTATCTCGGTTTCTTCCTCAAAGGGGGCGGTGGTGAATTGCAGGAGCTTGGGGTTGTCGAGAGTGCCCAGGGCTTCGTAGGAGAGCTTTTGCGGGCGGGTGACGATAGGTGAGATTTGAGTTAGGGTTTGGGAGGGGGTGAGGTAGAAGTTGGTGTAACGGGTTCGTGCAATGGGCCATTCGTTTTCGGTTCGTCTTTGGTACACCTTTTCTTTCTCGGCATCGTCGAAGCCCACATCGCCCTTGCGGAGGACCATGTCGACTGGAGGCAGCTTGCCCTTTACTGACCAACCAACACGATCCTCGCCCTTGAGGAACGCATCAAGGAAGCTTCGTTGTATCTCAACTTCTTCCTTGTAGTAGAAGGGCAAATCATGTCTTCCAGTGATCATTCGTAGGTATTTGAATTCAGACCCAGCATGAACGTATCCTTCGACATTGCCACGAAGATGAAGTAGGATACCGCCCCAGTTACCGACTGATAGAAGCGGTACTTCGATATCGCTCATATCATACTCTTTGCTTGCGTAGTATAGCTCGTCGCGGAACTTGTACTTGGCAGTATCAATAGTTTGATCCTGTCTGTTCTTTGCGCGCACTTCATCGGATAGGTTTCCGTCGACTGTGTCCGGTCCCCAGTTTCGTTCTGCACGGCCAGGGCGACCATATTGATTCGTGATGACTTGACGGTTCCTGAAAAATTCGATTAGCATTAACTTTTCTTGATAGAGAGGGTGTGTCGGACATACCACCAAAAGTCAATAAACTTGTTACTCAAGATACCTCCATGACGGCATCTGTCTCGGTAATAATCACTCATGCCTTCCCATGGTATTATCGCAGCCAAGCCTTTAGGCTTGCGCGCTGCAACACGCCATTGCGATCCGGCGTAGTAGCTTATACCGAGTAAACCAACCTTTCCAGACGACCAAGGTTGCTCAGCTGCCCATTCGACGACATCAAAGAAAGCCTCACTAGTTCCTCTTGACATTGTGTCTAGGAAGCCTGGCGACTGGCCAAGGCCGCGCTCGTCGGCGCGCACGATAACGTAGTCATGCTTGGTCCAGAAACCAGGATCTGGTGTTTCCCATGCTGAATGATCAGAATGATGCTCAGGATTGACTTCCGAGAACGATTTTCCGTGGAAGCTATGAGGCGTCAGTTGCTGCGAACTAGAATCAGACATCACCCTACTTACTCTTTGTAGTGAATGTCTTTTCCGTAAGGTCCATAAGTCACCAGCACAGGAAGTTTAGTACCTTCCTTGGTTGATTTCGGACGGTAAACATTGCAACGAATAATGCCCTTGGACGATGTCTTCAGTGGCACAGCAGCATTCTCCTCAAAAATGTAGGGAAATGACGATTCGTCGACCTTGTGCGCGTCCTTGACTTCCAGCTGTTCAGACATTGTGTAGGTGGTGATGAGGTATGAAGAAAGTCATTTCCCAGAAATTTTGGATATAAAAGACCCGTCGTGACGCGTTGCGAGTGCCGGTACGGGCAACGCGCCGTTGTTCCAAGTGCAGTGCATAGAGGGGCAGTGTCGGAATGTGGGGGGAATGTACTACTTGCGTAGCTTCGCGAATACCCCACTAGTAGCCGAAGCGATTTCGGTACCCCAACCCTCTGTGAGACAAGATCGTTGAAGTTTAGACTCTTGCAGTAGATTTCTGGATGTTGGCCTCTATGCACATTCGGGATCACGAGAGTGAAAGTTCAGCAGATTTCCCTTTAGGATAAAATCACAATTGCATTCAAAAAAAAATCCGGCACACGTTGACTAGATGCCCAGAAACTTGCTTCAGTCGCGATATTACATAGCATGCAATCAAACAGAAATCATATTCCATTTACAACAAGCCCTATTGTAAAGGAATATATTTTGATGAATATTTACGAAAGCCAATAATGCAAGTCCCGTTCAAGTATACTACGACGACTTCGGCACACCCTGCATCGTTCCATAATCTTCCTTCAAAGCCTCACCACTGATTTCTACTGGCTTGCATTCCTGTAGCACGTACATCATACGTCCCCATGACGTCGAGCTCAAGTTCCTCCAAGCATGCATTGTGCCCCTCTGAATTGCAACATCTCCTCTTTTCATGTGTCTTGTCTCTCCAGAATCCAGCACCAGCTCGAACTCGCCCTCCAGCACGACACCGTAGTCTAGTGAGACGGTTCGGTGCATTGGTGATAGGTGGCCTGGCGCTACGTCTACGAAGCGGAGGACCGTTCCTCCTGAAACGACGAGACCGGGCGAACTCTCTAGATATGGTTTGTAGACTTTTAGGTCGGCATCGTTGTTTAAGTCGACAGGAAATCCCTTTGTTACATATCCCAATCGGAAGTCTGCTCCTGGGATAGGATCGACTTTGTGCTCATCAGGAATGTCATTAAAGAAGACGGCCTGCTTTGTGGCTGGGTCGTGGGTTGTGATGAAGCGGTTGATCTTGGGAAGGTCATTTGGGACATCGGTTTGAGGAGCCATATTTCTGGAAAGTTGCACCACGCAATAAGATGGTGGATAAGACTGAAGAGGGTTTGTTGTGAAGAAGTTTCGCTGGCAGAGAAATATTTTCTGAGGAATTGAGTACTGATAGAGCGTAACGAAAAGAGAACGTGAGACAGTGCCGTTGAAAGGCTGGTTCACTGCCTTCCGATGTGGGGGGTACATATACGAATGAAAATGCCACCTGCATCTGCCGACACAGGGCCGACCTATTCTCGGTGGGTCTTGCTGCATGCTTAGCGCATTTGAGTATTACTTACATTGGTGGTTTGCATTAACCGCGTGGGGAACAGGCATGCTACGGCGTAACCCTTGGGGTAATGCGTAAGAGGGGTTCACGCGTGCACCTCGGGGACTGGGGGCAGGTGCTCGGTTTTGCTATCGATAAGAGGCATGATGCAAGCTCCGCGCCAGATGGTCACGCTGAGTCCGAGTTCGAGCGTGGCGGTTGCGCGTGTTCTGTTGGTTTCGGGTGATGGGTAGTTAGACATTCTGTATTGTGGACTAATGGAGGTGAAGATAATAATGTAACTGAAGCACCACAAACCGCTTTGAGTAGATCGCACATACATAGCTCGGTTTCTGCAAAATATTACAAAGCGTTGCTGTGCCTTACCAAGACAATATGAATACCTGGTATCTGCAAGCAATACTGTATTGGGTCTTTCGGTCTTGTCGGGTTCCAATTACAAATCTATAGCGGGACAGATCCGATGTGGGGGGAATGACATCCGAAACATCAAGCTACAGCCCCATACATCCATGAACATCGTCCATAATACCGCACCTCGGTAGAAGGTTGTAATCACAAGCAGCTTCCTTTTATTGATACAGCAAAAATTGCGTTTTTTTTGAACAGTTTCGTCATAACCGAACCAGCTTCATAGTCAGTCCTCTACAACCACAATGGCAGACAGCTACGCCTCACATTTTGGCATCAACAACATCCCCTACGGAGTTGCCAGTTCGTCAAAGCGAACAAATCCACAAGGCGTCACGCGTATTGGAGACGAAGTCATTTTTCTTGCAGAGCTCGCTGAACACAATACTTTCAAAGCAATTTCAGCACCACTATCCTCCATCCTCCGCGAACCCACCTTGAACACCTTTGCCGCATTAGGCAAAGACATGCAATCCAAAGTCCGCACCGCAATCCAAGAAGCCTACAAAAGCAACTCCCATAAGGAATACTCAGAACACATCAATGACGTGACCCTTCACCTACCCGTCCACATTGGCGACTTTACAGACTACAGCGCATCGGCAAACCACGTTCTCAACGCAGGAGAAGCTGTAATGGGCGTCCGATCATACCCACCCGCTTTCAAAAAATATCCGGTGGGTTACGCAGGCCGATGCTCCTCCATAACCCTCTCCGGCGCACCAGTCACTAGACCATTAGGCCAATTCATCGAGGACTACACTGTCCCCGAGAAGAAAATTATCTTCGGCCCATCCCGGAGTCTAGACTATGAAATGGAAGTTGCAGCCGTAATTGGCAAGCCCGTAGCGCCAGGCAGCATTCTCAATGCCAAGGACGCCGACGAGCACATCTTTGGACTTGTTTTGCTGAACGACTGGAGCGCAAGAGACGTTCAGGGTCTCGAGATGAACCCGTTAGGCCCATTTAACGGAAAGAACTTCATGACATCCATCACACCCTGGGTTGTAACGCTAGAAGCCCTGAAGCCCTTTGAAGTACCCGCCCCAGAACGCATGGAATCCGTCGCCCCGTTCATGGACGACCCTAAAAGCGCAAACTATAACATCCAACTGGAAGGTCAAATCATCCGCAATGGAGTTCAGACGACAACATGCAAAGTCGGGTTTGAGACCATGTATTGGACGTTCAGACATATGCTGGCGCATCATACTATTGGCGGCTGTGGACTTCGGTCGGGAGACTTGGTTGCTAGTGGGACAGTATCAGGCGAGCAGAAGCATGAGCATGGGTGCTTGCTTGAGCTTACAAAGAACGGCAAAGCTCCAAGTAAGTTGAGCGACGGAACTGAGCTACGCTTCCTTGAAGATGGAGACGAAGTAAGGTACATTGGTGTAGTTGGGGATGGAAGCACGGGAGTAGGATTTGGGGCATGTGTTGGTACTGTAAAGCCCGCTCGACAAATATAAGAATATACGGAGTACTGAATGTAAATCTTTCTTATTTTCGTCATCACCGGCAAGTACCAGGCGATACCCATATCTCAAGGTCTGTGCAGTCAGCTACTTAATCAAGCTTTCTACTACTAATTTTTAGAAGAAAAAAAAGTGTAGCTCTGCATCCTATCGAGTACTCCACTAGACAGGCACTGATATGACAAAAAAGAAGTCTTGAGGTCGTGCCCGGGTTCTTCTCAATGTTAGGAATTGCAATCACATGAAGGTAGAGGAAGCATCTTACCGAACCGGGGTTATCAGAATATTGAGAAGTCAAAATCTGAAGTGATAACCACTACCTGGAATCGAATGAGTGCATGCTCCATGGCGCAACGGATGTAGATCAACGTACACTACACAACCTATGGATGCTTCGAGTGGTGCAATATGTAAATTTTTCGCGATGTAATTTCTATATTGTTGTGCATGATGACACATAGCTAACATCAAATCTCTATACATATGCAAGAATAACGACATGTCAGAGCTATGACGTGTAGACTTTTGCAAGTGGACATTGTAGTGGGGCATGGTTCTTCTTGGACAAAAAAGAGGGGTCGAATTCACCGACTCCGGCAAACCTCAGCTTTCCCACACCTAAAAAGAACAGGTCCACGATAACGAACCCAGCCATCAGAAAGGCAAAAAAGAAAGGCTTTTTTTGATGCATACGAGCGGGGAGGATCGAACATCAAGGTACGGGTACAAAGTATGTGTACTTGCTGAAAGCATATGAGATGAAATCGAGATTGTGATGTATAAGGAAAGCTTCCTACATAATCTGCAACAAGCGCAATTATTTACTATTATTAGAAAATTTCACGCATCTTGATTTAGTACATTAGTAAAGGGTCTACTCATTCTTTAGACCTAAAGATTTGGTTATAGAGTATTCGGCGTTTGGAAGATTTCGGCTTCGTAAAGTGTGGCCTTTTCTTTTTCGTAGAATTGAGCTACTCAGGATTCAAATAGTAGAAGTTGCTGCTAGGGAGTTTGAAGTAAGGTTGATAGGTTGCTTAGAGGTTCGGACTATTGGCAAAGACCTGAAAGGACAAGCTGGGCAAGATGAAATGCCAAGCACGGGGTTACGTAAGTACGGGGTTACGCACGTGCGCAGCAGCTCACAGCTACGCAAATACATAACTTTAGAGCTCCTCCAACACCCTTCTCATTTTAAAGGCATGGTCCTCACAGCCTACATTTCAGTCACTCTGTCACCATCGTTATCCACATTAACCGCATTAAGTTAGCCAGCTACAATGTCGTTGTTCCGCATACAGCAGTTGTCCTCTGCACAGCCGCTATCGGCTGAGTGGCTTTCGCCCTTCCTGCAGCTGCGAAAACGCCCTCTTTCTCTCGTTATAATACGGACAATCTTTCAGTCTGCGACGATCGCGAGATGTGACGTAGATTTTTACGATGCGATGTTTCGCTTGGTAGGGGTGGTTAGAGTACTGTAATGTTTGCTGAGTCTCATTCACGAATCGGCTGGTCTTTGTTCTCGTCTGATCCCAGGCTTATGCTGAATTAGTTTTGTCAAGACGCTCTTAATGGGTTTCATGGACGAAGATAGGCAATTTGACCATACCCGGGCCAAGGTAGGTACATGGTGTATTTCATAGGATATTTAAAAACTTGGTTCTTCAATGCCGAACCTTGAAAGATGCGCCAGTGTTCATGGGCTGTTGGAGAAGATGCTAGAGGAATTTTCTTTGTACCCGCCCAGTGTTTGTGTCTTATATCGGAAATTGTTTTCTCAGGTTAGTTTTGATCTCACTACGTATGATCTTTGTTAACGGCGCCAGACTTGTATAAGTGCCTCTTCATTTCAAGTGCGGTCCATTACTCCACAAGAACAAGCGTAGTACAACAGTTATCAGGACGTGTTCTCCCTACAGCGATATGTCCCAATCAAGCAGCAACGGAACAACTGCCAACCGAAAGCACAATGAACCTCACTCAGCAACTTGTGAGCGGAAAAAGAATCATAATGCGTTGAGATTTTCCGATACAAACGAACTCCGAGACCACCGCACGAAGCCCACGAAGCCCACGAAGCCCACGAAGCCCACGAAGTCCATGAAGTCCACGAAGCTCACGAAGCCCACTGCTTATGAGCTGATCCAGCTTCCGGAACACTACGACTCTGATTGGGAATATCACGAATCATTTGGTGAAGAGGACACGGATGATGAGGATAATGAGGATGGATATCATGCATATCAGTGTGAATACGGAGACGAAAGTGATTTGGAGGAGAAATCAGCGTCGAGAAACGAATGGGGGAAGGACATTTAGTGTTGAGAATACAGCCAAAGAGCGTAGAGGTGAAAGTAATCCTAGTAAGTACCATTCTCGTGACTCAAATCGACATTGGCAGTTATAACCTCAAATGTTGTCCAATCTTCTTGTTCTAGCAGTTATGGTTGCTCTTATGCTTAAACCGTGGATGGCTGGGAAAAGCCAGCGAATCCATTGGCGATTAGTGAGTAATAACTTGAGCGTTTGTGACTGCACACTCAACGATGAAATAGCAATTGACACAGCTCATATCTGCTGTTTTGATTCATTTCTTAGTAGTGCTGAGTATATCATGTGTTGCAACATGGATAGCACTCCGCTCTCTAAGTCCAGAACATTTGGAGCTGTTTCTCTTGGAACGAGGTTGGATCCAGCATCGCATCTTCCAATTGAGTCTCGTCGTTTGGGCTTCATGGTGGCAAAAGGTTTGGCATTAGTATGTATCTTATCTCCCTCTATTATCTCTCATATTGACTTGCGCTGCTGAAAGGAATCTGCCTCATAATTCCCAAAAGCCTCCGACCAAACTTGCCGCCCTGCCGATGGCTCGGTACGGCATCTCCGCATATCGTGCTATTCACTATCACCTATTTCTCTCTCCCTCGATGCCTTCCACAGTTGTAGGCAGTTCCTATAGGACAGTACTTGAAGTTCCCGCATTTCTTACCCAGCTTCGTTATACCGACACATTGAGTCAATACACCCGCGCTGTCCTGATAACTGGCACTCATGCCGCCGCCATCGAGAGCCGATATGTAAGACGCGAAAATTCGGGTCGTAATATGGGTAGGTGTGGACATGATCGTATCAATCAGATGTCTTGCTCCTTTGAAAACAAAATGCACTGAGTGCACGACGAATCTGCTTCGTAGCGTCATCAAAGCGATTGCTATGCTGCTACATATTACAGTATCGAACAACATAATCAGCTGCCTGGTTTTCCCTAGAAAACTACTCACAAGCAGTATAGTTAGGATAGCTGTCAGGATGTCATAGATAGTCATGTCAAGGTGGAGTGGGAGTTGTCCCATCTAAGGTGAAGGGGTAAAGATTTCGAGAGACTTGGAGCATATTTTAATGTAGAAAACAACGCACCTGCCGTGAAAATCTCTTGGGCGTTTGGGTCTATCTACTCTGTTCATGCACATTCTTTGTTAATTCTTATCTTTGATTGTCGTGGTAAAGTTTGCCATCGTTCTTGTTTTACCACACCAAACAACCCTTTCGCTATATCGCTTTTGAACCGTTAAAATTAACCTTTGGTCACTAATCCGTCGCGGTTTTTATGTAGCCATCTACTTTTTGAGCTGCGGTGGAGAGGATAAAGCAGGTGGTATTAGGCATCTAATGATGAGTGCATAATATAAATATTGTACGCGGCTTACATGTTTAAATATGCCCGACTCATGCGTGCTTCAAGTGTGTTTCCGGTCTCCACTAGCAGCCTCTGTTTGTTCCAAGACTATTCTATTATTGCAGCTTTAGCTGCATATTACAATCGGTTCCGGAGGGGGCTCTCATGCAAGAAGAAACGCGATTTGATTAGCTCTAAGGCGCTCTACGCTGATTAGTTGTGCCAAGATATTAGGAATCTCCGTTTCTGTATAGCGCCAGTCACGTGATCTCGGCCAAGATCTCAGCCAAAAAACGAGCCAGAAAACCAGCTTAAAAGCCAGCTAAACTAGCTAGAGTAGCTAGAGAAAAAAATCTACTCTCCGTAGGAGCCGCCAGAGGCAAAGAGCGCGCGCCTTCGGTGCGCCTTAAATCAGTAGTTTTAATAGCCCGGCTGGCGATGCTGAGATTGGAGCTTAAGCTGCATCCCCCTTCAGCATCGCCAGCCGGGCTGTCAAAACTACTGATTTTATTCCTAGTCATGCTATATTAGTGGGTTCGAAAAATTCATCATCGGCTGGCGAGAACTCGAAGGATATGATAGCCAACAGACACTCTGAGATGGCTGCAAATAGTTCGGCTTCAAGTCGTCCACGACAAGCGCGGGTGATTAAAGAGGAGTTTTTCGTGCTAGTTTGGCAATCGCACCCAGTATTCATCCCAAGTTTGGCAGTCATTGGTAGATGCACAGTGAGGTATCGTAGTGAGGTACAAAAGCCGGGGCGGAATAAAGCACGATGAATCAATGTTGCACGTGTGCGACTGCAATAAACGCGGTAGCACAGTTGTTATCTCATTCTGCAAACTATACCAAGTTACGTCGCAACGATAATGCACCCTGCTTGTTCCACCAAACGGGTCTAAAACTTTGCACAATGTGTAGGAACCAGCTTATAGGTGGTGGACAGGCCTCAGAAGTGATTTGACGTGAAAGCAACTCTACGCCAAGTTCAACCGGCGTAAGGGAAGTATGGTGGCGGCGCTTGTACCGTGTCCGTGCACCTCATGCACGGATTCATCTCGTGCACGCCGAACACCAAACGCGCGTCTCAGCGTCATAACTTCAACGCGCTATAACTCAACAACTATGGCTCCAATTGACGATGCAATTGCAGATTTAGAGTCGCAAGAACCTAGAGAAAAACTTATATTA